AACAGAGATTGGGTACACAAGAAGTATCATAGAAACCTTGTACTCACACAAATCTACATCGCTATTACTCTTTTCATCAAGACAACAACAATGACAGTTGAATTAGTAAAATAAAACTATTTTTCAAACTTATTCCTCAACTGAAAGTATTTCCTTGTAACAAAATGAATGTTACTGCTGTTTAATCAATTTTTGCAAACTTTTTATGACGTTGGAAGTTTTTGAATATAACTTTCTTATTCCTTACCCTGCTCTTTCAATGATTTCTCATCTTCTAATTTAGAATTAAATTGTGGATATTTAATATTCCACACAACTGCCAAGATTGTTTCAAATATTCAACATTGTTTGTAGAGATATTCACTCTGGTGACAAATTTTAGAAACTTAGCTCCATGTTCCATGAATACTTTTTTATATTTTTAATATTTTCATAGTTCTGTACTTTTATGACATTTATCATACTCAAAATAAATAGTACAGAATGTTATTAATTTTTAACGATTTTTAGTAGTACTATATGATAAATCATGTACTGTGAGTTTACGCATTTTTCTTCTTTGTGATTGAATTATATTATTGTTTTATGTTCTAAGAATATTGAGTAATGTCTCAAAATGAATACAATGTTACTTACCATTAACCTCACATTTTGTGAATATGATAATAACTAGCTGATTATGTTATTACTTATATTTTTCATTACACATTAGCGTTTTCGATGAAGAGCCAATGAAAGTCTCTAAAGCTTGAACAGAATCTGTTTAAAATCTGTTTTTCCGTTAACCAGCTGTCGCACCCCTACGAACGGCAACTCTCAGAAGTCGAAACTAGTGAGAGCTAAGGTCTAACGAGGTTTTACCTTTTAACGTGTGTTTCCTGTAGAGTTATATTTTCTTTGCAGAGTGCAACAGACTGTTGATTGATACTGGAAGTCACAGCATTCTGGAAATGACCTCTAACTGTATGCTTCCAACTGTCAACTACGAACTGCCTTATAAAGTATTGTTCCCGAGTAGAAAGGACTGGATTCTCCGGGAGAAGGAAATTTTAAGAGCAGATAGTTGTTGGTTAACGGATGGATCAAAATACACCTTCCGGTTCTGGTGCAGGTGTTTTCAGTCGCTGACCCAGGACAGAGATATCAACCTGCCTAGGAACCTATGCGACTGTATTTCAAGCGGACATTTACGGTATTGAATTGTGTGCGGAGAGATTGGAAGAATCCAACCTCATATACAAGGCAATAAAAATATTCTCGGACAGTGAAGCGGCCTTGGAAGCTCTTGGCTCCTACCGAGCATCATCTAAATTGCAAGCAAATTGCCAAAAACGAGTCTCCTCGATAGGAAGGCTTAACATATTGTCTCTGGTCCATACTGGCGTGGAAGGCGTTGATGCTGTTGACTCCCTTGCAAAGGAGGGTGCTGCAAGCAGCTTCATCGGAGCAGAACCTGTCATTGACATCGCTTCACCCTTCGAACCTTGATACCAAACAGTTGTTGGACTACAGTAGGGATGAACTACGATGTCCAACAGGCCTTCTTAGAGGTCACTGTCATTTGAATCATTATATGCAGAGACTCGGACTGTCGGAAAACAGTTTGTGTTGCCTGTTTGGGAAAATGATGAAACAGCAGAGCACATACTTCGTGCCTGTCCCGCTGGGGACCGAATCAGGTTTTAAGAGTTCGGCAGAGGCGTACTCTTACCATCTGACCTGAAAGACCACTCATCATACAAACTGATCGGCTTCGTTAAGGAGCTGGGTTTATTTGGTCGAGTGTGAATAGGTATGAGCCACAATAAACCTTTGCGGGTTGCGGACCGGTGGAGGGCCGAATAGACCCACTCACTTTGGACGTATCCTATCCTGACCTATTTTTTCTTTTGTCTACGATTGCAATACCTGCTCCAATATACAGGGCATAACGTAAGGGATGACTTTAATTTCTGAATGTGATTCCTTGTTATATTTTATGAAAGTAAACAAGTAAACATATGTGCTAAATCATTCATTTTTTGAATGACAGGGTGTTGAATTTGTAATGAAGAACGGTTTTGCTTTAATCGCTCAGTAGATATTTCAAACATACAACGGGTCTATGCAATTTTGCCAAGCGATGGTCCCAATCGATTGGATTTTTGTTAGTGGTTCCTTCGGAATATTGCAAACAATTCTAACTCTACGTCTAACGTTTTGTTCACAGATGAGGCAAGTTTTTTTCACAAAATGCTATCAGAAAAGAAACTTCCATAATAATCATCAAATACTTACGAAAATCTTCATACTATTGTAGAAAATGGATTTCCGCAGATGTCATCATTTGAGTTACACCCTGTATAATTTTTAACCGCTTATGTGAAGAATTGAAATAATTGCCTTTTTTGTATACTTGAAATGATGTCTTCAGTATGTACTACTAAATCTTTCATCTTCAAATATCCGTTAATTTTATATTTTTAGTGATACGGAAAAAAAATATCTTTCTGGGAAAGAAAGTTTTTGGCTTTCTACTACTACTTTCCCAAAAATTACTCCTAAAAGTATAACCTTTTCAAAGTAATCGTCTTTCTGTTTTTGATTCATCAGCAGAAATACAAATACATAATTTCTTTAGCTTGGAGAAAATGTTTTTCCGTTAACCAGCTGTCGCACCCCTACGAACGACAACCCTCAGAAGTCGAAACTTCTGCGAGCTAAGGATTANTTCTGCACTCTGCTGTAATTCGTTGGCGAAGATCTTATATGGACTCGGGCTGCGTAGCAAAACATTTATTTTTCAAGTGTCCCCAAAGGAAAAAGTCTGAAGGCGATAAATCAGGTGACCTGGCAGGCCATTCGATGGGGCCTCTCAAGTTGATTCTTGCTGTTATTTTCTATCCATTCACTTTTATATTTTTATACTTTATAGTTTTTATATTCTCATACTTACATTCGTGTGCTGCATGAGAATATTCATTATTATTATTATTTACTTCAATATGTAGCATATATATTATCACTTTCTGACACCTTTTTTACCCGAAAATGCTGAAATCACCAAATGTTCAGATATTACTTTCAATTTGTATAACTTATATTCTTTAAAATAATAACACTTTGAAAATGATATTTTATTTTCAACAATATCTTTTAAGTTGTGTATCGTATATTTCTTAGAATAGTAACAGTTTGTCAATGAGATTTCATCTTCGACAATAAAGTACATTTTAATTTGATTTGCTCAATATTCAATATTAGAACCACAGTGGCATTACCCAGGATTTCTTTGTAAAGTATTTTTTGTTATTCATAACAGAATTACCCAAATATTAGGATTGCTTTTTTAATTAATTTCATTAAGAATTATTCATTTCTAAAATACTGTTTATTGGAAATTCCGATATGAATACCTGAAAAAGAAATAAAATAAAAAGCAGAAGTATAATAAGTGTCTATATTTAATCTTGTGTCATTGGTAAGAGTAACATAAACATTCCAACTTAGTACTAAATAGATGTAACCGTGAAAAATGTACAGAATGGCAAAAATTATAAACAAATCACTACATACAATCAGTCTCAAACAAATAATACATATCTTTTTTCGGTTTTTTCGACTACCATATGTATAAATAACGGGGTAAGAACAAGAACCACAGTAAAAATTGTCCAACATTATGAACATAACATGTAATCACACTCACAATTATTTAAAAAGGAACATAACAAAACAATTCAGACACAGATTGAGTGTTTCAATTGCACCCCCTTTGGCAGGCAAATATGTACAAAATCAGGAGAGCTGTTTATTTAGACGAAAATAATATACAAATATAAAATGAGTTGCACAGCCTCTCCAAGAATTGTTATGCATAGATAAAAGTACTTGGTTTGAAATCTTTTTAAAGTTTTCATTATTTTTTTATTGTTTGCTCTTTCAATTCTTTTTTACTCTGTGGTCATTTTCATTTTGTATTATGATTATTTTATTCATTCGTTTTATTGTATTTTCAGTTCACGTTTCATTTTATAATGGAATTTTGAAAATTATTTGGGAATTGTAGAATAATTGTAGAATTTTTTAATGAAATCTTAAATGTGACAGAACAATCTCAAGTTCAGAACATATTCCAAAAACATTAAAAAATTCGTCCCGAGTACATTTGTATACCCCTCAATATTAGAAATCAAATTTTATTCTTTGACGTCATAGTTTGAACCGCCCTATACATTATAATTCACAGCGGAAGTTCGTGAAAAACGAAATAATCAATATGCAAAAATCATAAATATGATGACTTGAGTATACAATATTTTTTAATATACCAAAAACTCAAAGGTAAATACAACACATTTACAGAGGTGACGATAATTGAAAGTTAAAGTTAAGACTCAGATTCTGCCCTACTGAAAATGATTCCTGTTAATCAGAAAAAACTAAAAACAGGTCAACAAGTGAACACAAATTTGTGTAGTGACCTGATACTTTTTTTCTCGTGAACAAAACATTATTCTACACCAACAAAAAAGACGTTTAAGAAATGCATTGCCCGTCCCTTTATATTTCTATAAATTTTCTGTATTAACTCCAGATTTTTTGAAATCATGAAAAGCAGTAAAGTTCAAAAATCAGTTATATCCAATTTATTTTTGGAAATAAATAACTGTAGAACTTATGGAGAGTCAAATATCACCCTGTAGCCATTATTTGTAACCAACTATTTTTCAATTGATGATGATGTCACCAATAGAAAAATAAAATTAAGTTGCTATCTCATTTTTATACATATTTATCATTTGAATCTAGATTTTGTACATCCACAAGATATTTATAATAAAATCTGATATAAATATGTTATATCTATATTAATAACTGAGATTCTGAGGTATTGCTGTTTGAGTATTGTTTATTATCGGACACTATGAAATAAACTTGAGCAATTTTCTTTGTTGTATTATCATTACTCTGTTTTTCTCCCTTTGATCGCCGTTAAAAATCAAATATAAAATAATATGTACAAATATAATAAAATATATATTTAAATAGAGCTCACAATCATTTAAGTAGAAAAAGTGCCAAGTGACAACTACTATTTCATACGTACACACAAGGGCCGTCCTTAACGGATGGCAGCGATTTTGGACTGAGTTTTCCTATTGTGCGTCTCCTTGTGTTTCTCCATGTGGTCCTTCCTGATGAAGCCTTTTTCGCAAGTGCTACACTTGTATGGTTTTTTCCCCGTATGAAGGCACATATGCCTTCTGAGGTCGGTCTTGTGGTTGAAGGCTTTTTGACATGGCGACACATCGCATTTGTGTGGCTTGTTTCCAGCGTGTTTGGCCAAGTGCACCTCATAAGTCTTTTCACATCCAAATCTTTTACCGCATCTCGTGCATTTGTAGGGTTTTTCCCCGCTGTGAAAGGTTTTGTTGTGCTGCGTCAGATAACATGCTTTATTGAAGAACTTGTCGCATGGGTTGCATTTGTGTATTCTGGCCTTGTTGTCAGTTGAAGACACAATCATAGTGTTAACGTTTTCTTGGTAATCTCTCTTTGTGTGAGCCTTTTCTGGGGAATCAGGCTGATTCGCTAATCTGTATTGGATTTCGTCAAACGTCGTAATCCTCTTTGGTTTGTTCATGGCCTCTGGATCATTCTCAATTGCCATAAGACCTTCCCCAGTATTGTTGTTATTTGGTGCGGGAGTATAACCCAGGATATACTCATCCTCGCAATGAGGCGCAACGGGTTCGTTCTGAAGGAGAATCGCTTCATTTTGATTCTGCTGGTATATTATATTTCTTTGATCTACGTTATCGTTGGGGATGTCATAATAGGTATAGGAGGACGTTACCGACCCTCCGCCCCCCACGTTATCTAAATCATAGCCGCCAACCAGCGCGTAACGGTTCGGCTGGAGTTGTTGGAAGCTTGGAAGCGGTTGATTTTCGTCAGCTTGGCTGATTGGAATACCGTATTGGTACTCACCAGTAGTATTGAGGTTGCTGGTAGCCATAGCCTGAATAACGTGGGGGGCCAACTCGTTTGGGTACATCTGGTACTGGTTGTCCTCCATTGACATCATATGCTGAGACGCCATGTTGAATCCAAGAGGGGTATTGACCGAATTGGTTGCTTGTGAACTGAGCGACAGCAGGCCCCTCGAATCTAGGTTGGTGGTGGAGAGGCCTGCATCCCCGTTTGGGGGACTCCCGTTAGATATGAGTTGGTTGCCGATATGGTTTCCCAACGGGCTCGGATGTTGAGGCATCGGCGAGAGGGGCATCGGAGAATGTGGCATTGGAGAATGTAGAGGCTGCGTGTGGTGTATATTTGGCGCCGGTTGCCGGTCGTAGGGACCATTTGGAGGATGCTGTAGTAAGCCTGGCATTGAATTCAGTCTCTCGTATTGAGATGACATACTGCTGTCATCACCTCGGATTTCATCTCCCGGGCTTCTCGATTGCGGACGATCATCTTGCTTAGAGTTATTGTCCCTGGCTGGATGATGATGGGCGCTAATTGGCAGAGACGCCGGATCTGGCTGTCCGCTGGATTTTACGGCATTTTTATGTAGGGTCGTATTGTAGTGCCTTTTCAAGTGACCGGAGCTGGTGAACCACTTGTTGCAAGCTGTACAGTTGTATGTCTTAGGCCTCCTAGCCTCGTTGGATTTCCAATTCGCTCCTTTCTGGTTTGTGCTCGACGGGGGTTGAACTGGAGTGCTCGAAACTCCAGTACTAGTTATCACAGGAACATTTGGTTGTGGCGTCATGTGTTCAAACGGCCTATAAACCTGAGGAGTTTGATTCATGGCATTTCCTTCCGGACTTGTTGTGGTAACGGCGCCACTACTCATAAATTCTTGATTATGTATCTGATGTGGTTGGAATAACTTTTGTTCGGGTTGGAATAATTTCGTCTCAGATGTGAACAATTTCTGTTCAGCTTGGAACATTTTACTATCCGGAATGTTTTCTGGAATGTTACTTTGGAACATTTTCTCGGAACTACTGAACACACTCTGTTCCTGGAACAGTTTTTGTGCTGGCTGGACGTTTTGCTGCTGCAAAGTTGACCACGACGGTAACATAACAGTTACAGAGTGCGGATTCGATTCCCCGTTATGGGGTTTTTCATCTTCGGGAAAAACGTTGTGAACAACTTTGTGAGAATCAAGATCCAGTATCTCGCTTTGTGAAGCGTCCTCCTGTTTAATGTTATGATGCTCGAACATAAAATGCTGATTGGGCTGATAAGATGAAAGATGTGATGCCGGGGTTGGAGGATGAACCATATTGAGATGTTCTATTAACTGCGAAGCAGATTCGCACACCTGACCACACTTGTCGCATTGTTTCGGGCTAGGGGATGGGGTTGGCTGTGGAGGGAACGCAGGACTTGAAGATGACACCTGTGCCTGCGTTTGCCTATCGTAAGGGCTGTTTTGGGGTTGCGTATAGGGGTGATACCTGTACGCGGAAGATTTGTGAACAAAGGAATCCTGAAACTGTTGGCCCTGGTTGGAATCCATAGGGAAGTATTGTTCGGGATAGCTGGCATAATTGTTTTGATATTGGGGTTGTTGCGGCGTGGGGGAAATTCGCTCGCTTTTCACTTGATAACAATGGAAATTCGGAGAAAAAGTGGAATTATCGTGACTTTGATAAGGCGAATTAGCGCTCTGATAGCTCTGAGGGGTAGGAGGATGTCCAAAAATGGTTTCTGGGGTCGTCGTACTGTACTCTGGACTCTTTTTTTGGAAAGAATCGGAGCTATCAGCAGTCGCTGCTGCATTATTAGGAATTGACTCACGTTTAATGTTCGCCTTTGTGGTGTTGTTGTTCGTTTCCTCCGAGTGTGAGGAAGCTGCTTCTAAGGCCCAGTGTTTCAGCAAATTATCTTTGTGGTACTGATAATGGACGTTCAAGGACTGCTTCGAATTCATCACGAGACCGCATTCCTTGCATTGCAAATCTTCTTCGGCAGCTTCCACAAATTGTTGTTGTTGCACTCCATTGCCGCTCGCCATTGCACTTCAGTTCGTAAACAATAAAAAAGTTTATAAAACGAAAAATACAACTGTCACTTTTTAAATATCATAACATTTCAAATGTCTTCAGTCGCGGTGGTGTAACGTTCTCAACAGAAAATAGAAAAGCGCATTCGTGCGAAAGGTGCATCACTTTTTCGAAATGAATCAAATAAATCGAAACCAAAAATAAAAAAGTTCCATAAGCGGTTCCGTTTAGCCCATCATTGGCTAGTTTCACAACTGTCCGTACACAAAACTATAACAACACTCGTAGACATGTCCAGGTAATATTCACCGAGAAACACCGACTGACTGATGTACGAATTTTCAGACCCTCACTAACGCACAGACGATACTAAACTGAAATGAATACCACTCTGGGCCGGTAGATCTTGACGAATTTGGGGGTCCAAGAAGTCGTCGGTCCTCGGTGCGTAGTTTTGCGAGTTCGCATAGGCTGGCCGCTCGGATTTCGGCCAATGGCGTGCCTCCGTTTAATGCGTTCGGGGTAGTAGGGGGTAAGATGCTGCATTTTTGAACATACACTGGGCTTTTGGATTATGATGCTTATGTTGTATACTTTGGAGTTTGCTTTCCTAGAATTCACCTTTAAAACTCGGCAATGTTTTCAGATTGTCAGAGTCGCAAAGAGTTATTGAAAATTGTTTTTCGGTTTTTTTGTTTTTCCGTCTATGCATGCATATGAAATATCGAGCTTTCAAAATAAACTAATTGAAACTGAATTATCAATATTTTTTTCTTTTTGAAAAATCCTAGATGAATTTTTGGGAATTATAGTTTTAGGTTATTCTTGGCATTCCATTTGCAAGGACATGTTCAGATCAGGTTATAAAAAAGTATGGTTGTTCAAACAAGTTGAAAATAAAAAAAATGTCTTTGCTTTTCTGTAAATGATCTAAACTGATATAAAAAGAAGATTTGTTGTTTGTAATTGATAAACTCGGAAATAGCAACCTTTCTTTAATTATCTCGATTCACTATATAGTTTTAAGAATATCGTAGTTGTGGAGTAATTAAACTTGCTTTGAATAACTGAAAATTATTTTTCGGTTTATTTTATATGAAGCGTTTGGTTTTGTAAAATAACGACCTCATGAGATAAAAACGTACTTATATGTGTTTGAATAAATTAATAAATACGCCTTTTGTTGATTTCAAACTATTTCCTGTCGAATATTCGGGAACTTGAAATGATACCAAATAAAAAAGTAATGATAATTTTCTTTTGAAATAACGTAGATACATTTTTGCGAATTATTATGATATTTTAAGCTGCATGTGCGGGAGTATATTTGAATCAGAATTGCTCTTCTTTACCTAAAATTTCATGATTTTACCTCCACCTAGCAAATATTGTGAACGATTTATAATGAAGATTTGAATAAAGTTTTTACGATTTAAAATTTCATACATTTATTTCCTTCTCCGATTCCTATTAGGTGAATCAGTGAAAATGAAATAATTTCTTCTTTGATCTTGTCATTTTCTAATTTCTTTTTCAGTGAAAAATTTCCAAATGAACTCTATGACTATCTTTTTTATAAAGATAACATTATTTTTCCGAAGGTGTTGAATAAAAGATATATTGTGTGTATTTTGGTCAGTATACATATTTTTATTGCTTCTATCTAATATCTTTCTTTTTTCTATAGTTTACTTGTTTGAAGGAATTCTTGAGAATGTAAATAATTTTTTTAAATCATCTTTTTTTCTGGCAACGGGATCGACTACTTTGGTTATTAGCCTGTTTTTCTATGTAGGCTATGTTGATAACCTAGGGAGATCTTTCGATCGGGCATACTATCAATCTGTTTAAATGCGTTTGAAATCTGTTTAAAATCTGTTTTCCGTTAATTAGCTGTCGCCCCCATACGAACGACAACTCTCAGAAGTTGAGTAACTTCTGCAAGCTAAGGACTAACGAGGTCTTACCTCGTGTGATTCTTAACCCGGTTGCAGAATTCCCAGCTTCAACCAGATAAATTCTCTCGAGAAAAATATCTGGTCGAGGCGGGAATCGAACCCACGGTCTTCCGATCGTGAGTCGGGCGCACTACCACCGCGGCCAATTCCACAACGAATGCTCCAACAATGCTCCAACTCATCGATGAATCATCATTTTTATTCTCTATTTCAAAAACCGTATTGTGATGTGAATGTAATTTCTGGAATATACTTTGTCAATCATTTTGAGTTATTGGAGTTTGGAAATCATTTTATTTTCATTCTCTTCAATTTCAATATATTTTTCAATAACGTACCTAAGGTTTCTCTTAAGAAATGAAGTTGAATTTGAATTAATTTCATGAATAAGTTCTGGGAAGAATAATAATGTTTTCTTTTGTTCCAGATTTGTTGCAAGCAATTTCTCATTCAGGTAAGGATTTACTCAATTACCTCTGTTAATCCTATAATTCCAGGAGATTCTTCATTTAGTATGAATTACAATAAAATTTTACCTGCAATTCAAAGAGAAGAGAAGTTTGTATATTCTATTTTATTTCCTATTTTATTTATTCAACATATAGGTGTCGATGAGAAATCAACAGAATATAAAACATTTTTGAGCAGAACAAATTCTCTCAATTCTTCGTTAATCAAATTATTTATACGATGAACGTTGAAGATTTTGCAAGGACGTTTCTCAAAAGCATATATGTATGTATTATAATCTATGTAGAAGTTGATAATTTGAAAAAACCTAGTTATTATTTCCAAAACTGACAGTAATACCTATACAAAAATAAGGCATCTGTGGAAATTCTGATTTTACTGGATTTCTGTCCTGTAATTTTTTCACAAAATGTTATCAGTCATCTTTGAAGATATGAGAGAATATTATATTTGTGATTCCAGGTCATGAGTGTTCCTCAATAATTGACTTTTGTGTCTCCTTCTTTTTTAAATGTTTATTGATTTCATGAATCTGTATGTTCATATTTCGAATGTTGATTTCTGGTAGTCGATTCGTTGAATATATCCAGAAAAATACTTTCAATATTCTACTGAATGTCTCCAACTCCTCTGGTTATTCGTTTATTTTTTGTCGCATCAGAAATGTCTTTTTAATCTCTCATTGGGTTAAAGTTTGCTAAGTAGTTAGTCACTTATTAAGTATTACTCAGTAAACATTGCATTTATGAGGAATTGATAACATTCGAATAAACGATGAAATCCTATGAAAATTATTTAGAAAAATATAGTTTAAAGAACTAAAAAATACGCTTTTAAAGAACANCGTCTAACCTACCATCGACCGTGATTCACGCTGTATACATAATAGGTCGACAATTTTCTTTATAGGTCCACATTCTCCTCAAAAATTGTATCCTAAGTAGTCCAATAGGCTGGCTTTCCATCAATATTTTCCTGTTATATTTCACCTTTTCCATCACAATCCAAGTTTATGAATTTCTCTTCGCAAAGACTCTATGCTACTCTGATATGAATTTCCCCAAACATTGGAGTTGAAAATGTTTTTTCTCACTATTTTCTATTTTCCGTCTCTGATTTGATTTTTCGTACAGTTCGCACGCAAACCCCTGTGACCTCAGGTACTTGTTCTTGAACTTTCAAATTTAAAATTCAATATTCATTACAATTACCTTCGCAAGAGGAATTATTACTCTATCTTCCGTTGATTCAGCTTGCATGACTCTTTATACGTTCTTCACAGTTTCTCTGCTTTGTCCACTGAGAATCTTGTTTTTCGGTTTACTGTTCTAATGCATTTTTGAAGATAATAAATAATTCACAGTTCACCACACATAATGATTTCTCCACCTACTATTCTAACACGATGTTCACTACACGAGTTCCTCAATGTTAACGAGCTCTCGCCTCACTCCGCCGGCTGATCTAAAGCACATCCAATTTTCAGAGGCACAGTTAGATTTGCTAAGATGTTCGTGGGATTTGACTCTCAAGAGAGGAACAACACCTCTCTTTTACCGATACCAACCTTGGGTCTAGATTTCGAATTAGCACAACCAGAAAAAAATGCTTCCATAAATTGTTCAAATGACCTCTAACTAATTCCATACAATAATACAGTCTACTCTCGAAAGCGTTCCGTACATTATTGAAGATGTCCGAAGTCAGCAAGCGGCATTCCCGAACAATTCTCTGTCGCAGGTCTTCTAGATTTGTAGGCTCAGTAGAGTACACTTTCGAATTCAGGTGTCCCCACAGAAAGAAGTCCATCGGTGTGAGATAAGGTGATCTAGCTGGCCACTCCACAGGGCTCCTTCTGCCGATCCAACGCATTGGAAAACGTTCGTCCAAAAACTGTAACACCCGAACATCAAAATGTGATGTTGCACCATCCTACTTGAAATGTTATTTCATTTTCTTCTGAATTGTCATAATTTTCTAAAATTTGTGTAATTATAGGATCTTGTAATAGATATGTCTCCATTGAGATTACCTTCGAAGAAGAATGGTCCAACAATATGATTACCAAGAATGCCGGCCCAGACATTCAATTTTTGTGGAGTTTGTGAATGTTTCCATCACCAAATGAAGATTTATATTGGTCCAGTAACGACAATTATGTCTATTCACTTTAACACTCAACATTAAAGATGTCTCCATTGAGATTACCTTCGAAGAAGAATGGTCCAATAATATGATTACCAAGAATGCCGGCCCAGACATTCAATTTTTATGGAGTTTGTGAATGTTTCCATCACCAAATGAAGATTTATATTGGTCCAGTAACGACAATTATGTCTATTCACTTTAACAGTCAACATGAAAGAACTTTCGTCGTAAAACATGTATTAAGGAAATGTTAATGTATGAAGGAAAGGTTACTTGTCTGATCCTGTTGGATTACAGCAAGGCATTTGATACCATGGATCATGAGGTTTTCATTAGTAAATTAAGATTCTTTGGATTCCATCCTGATTCAGTGAAACTATTGGAATGTTACCTGAAGGGAAGAACACAGAGAGTGGTTCATGACCTTGAATCCTCAGAGACCCTTGCTTTGAGCCATGGTGTTCCGCAAGGATCAATATTGGGCTCACTTATTTTCTTTGTACATCTCAGATTTTCATTCATTCATCAAACTCTGCCGCATACACCATTACGCGGACGATACCCAGCTGTACTTATCTTTCAATGAAGTGAAACCCGATGTTACCGCTGCTTCAAATTCGGATCTGGATTCTTTGATAAATGTATCTGCAGCACATAATCTGAAGTTGAACGCGAGTAAGTCCAGTGCATTGTTTTTCGGACCGAAGCTCCGAAGCGACATCATTTTGGGTGGGGAAAAAATTCCCATAAAAATGAAACAAAAAATCTCGGTCTCTGGTTAGACAGTGAATTGAGGTTCACA